GAATAAACATATGTTGTCTTTGGATGTAGAATCCATATTTACGAGCGTTCCACTGACAGAAACCATATGTTTTATATGCACAGATATTGAAGACAACAAACTGAACATAGGGGTACCCACTACAGATCTGAAAGGACTACTTTTGAGATGTACATTGAATGTACAGTTTACTTTCAATGAAACAATCTACAGACAAAAGGATGGGATTGCAATGGGTTCTCCCTTAGGTCCTCTCTTTGCAGACTGTTTGAATGTCCAATCTAGAAAATGATCAGTTGAAGCCTACAATCCAAAGCTTTCAAATGCATAAAAGGGGATGTAGACGCCATCTTTATTATTTGTGATAGTGATTGTAATTTGTAATGCATTTAATGGTTTCCAACCTGCGATAAAATTCACACTCGAAATGGAGAACGAGTCTAGCATTCATTTCCTCGATGTGAACTTATCAGGGAGGACCGATGGAACTCTGAAGAGATCGATTTATTGAAAGCTGTCATAGAATGATCATCTGACAAGTTTATACAGCTGGGTAACCATTGGTCAAAAACGAAACCTAGTTCGGTCGCTTGCCACTCACATTCGGCACATATGTAACTCTGGTATTGTGGAAGATGAGTTAAATCTTTTGAGGAAAATCCTAATAGAGAATGGATTTCCACCACATTTTATAGACAAGAATATACTTTTAAATCCTGTGAACCGTGACTTATCATCCGCACCCACGAAAATACTTTACATGAGCTTGGAATTCAAAGGTGAACTTAGCTTCGGATATCATGTATAGAAATAAATCACAGTCCCTGAAAAGAACATTCCCTGCTGCATCTCTGAGAATAGTCTTTACTAGTCGACCATAACTGTTCAATAACCTCCTGAAGGACAAGATTTCGCTGTTGACCAACTCCATGTGTGTTTATCAATTCATCTGCTCGTGTGGAACTAGCAGTATATATTGGTCGTTCGGCTCGAGTTTTGTCCAAGAGGGTGTAAGAACACTAACCTGGATATTTTGACAGATGCTTTCGAACTGTAATCTATCGGCAATGTTATTGATTTAATGTAATTGAAAAACGGCATTAATGTTGTTTATAACAATATTTTTGTAACTACTATGGATATGTGATTGTATCACCTGATGAAGAAAGCGCTATCGAAAACAATATTCTCTGTTCACTACTAATCCCCCTTTTTAAATAAATCATAAATTATGGACTGAAATTTGAAAAAGAACCCACTTATTCGAAACATCTAGTGTACAGAGGTCTTGAAATCCGAAAGGATCGTGAATGGCTTATGAACCTATTTTGGTCACCAAAAACCATGGGAATGTATGTAGCATTAACGAAGGAAGAGAAGGGCCAGGCAATTGATCGTTTATTCAGGAAATCAACAGATATTTATATATTTTTATGTACATTATTATTCGTTATTACTAACAGAGAAACAACGTCTTCTGACTGGTTATTTTCTCGCTGGAAGTTAATCTTTCATCTCTTTGTGGCCGTTTCTTTGAAAGTCAGACCATAAATCTGCTAATTGTATCATCCCAAGCAAAGTCCTTGTTCTTGTTTTTCTCATGACTAAGATTTGGGAAGTAAACATTGACGTAAATTGCTGCAGAAAGCTCTCGCCACATAGCTACTGACGCTGCTCCACTCACTGGTTTGTGGATCAGACATTCACTGAAACACTCCCGGTAACAGTTATTGAAGACAAACACCTGTTTCGGTCTGAGAATCGTCAGCAGCAATCATCCCAACCCTTCTAGAATTATTATTTATTATCTTCACATGACCTCCTCCAAGTCACCATTGCAATGATGACCAACTCGCTGCTTCCCTTTTGGGTCCCACTCGAGCAATGGCTTGTCTAGTAATGTCACTTGATAGCCACTCCACCTCCATTTTTTCCTGCTTATTTGTTGCACAATTGGTTCCTGGTGGGTTGGTTCGCTCATTGCCAGAGATCTTTGTTGCTGATCTTTTCTGAATATCTGATCTTGAGTATTGAGCGAAGACAGCTGTTGATGAAGGCCCGAAGTTTGTTTGAGATGCTCTTTATGACGCGCCAAGTCTCTGATCCCTTCTACAAACCATGAGATTTTTTATGGCGCATAAGGGAATAGAGATGATGTACAATAGAACGGAAATGTGAATATATGAACAATTTAGCTGTTTCGATGAGGCAATAACTGTAGATACTGCTGCCAACTGATTGACTATTATTCCATTATTATCATGAAAATGGAGTGGTGCGAGAATTTGTCCAAGAAAACTTAACAAATACTAAAAAATAGTGAAGAAGGAATATGCCTTTGAATACCACCTTCTTCATCAGGTTCTACTTTTCTGTGACAATAATAATCAATGAATTATTGTTATCGACAACACTCAAAGCTGTTTTAAATTACTCTGAATCAGTCAATAATGTTGATAGATTACAGTTCGAAAGTATCTGTTGTAGTGAGAGCCGTCTGCTAGCCAAAATTAGTAGACAGCGATTTACGTCAATATTTACGTCCCGAATCGGGGTTATAAAAATAAAACAAGAACAAACCCTAACCTTGAGGAACCCAACAACCAATCACAACAGCCTGCGTGGGCGGATGCGATTCACAAACATATTAACGGACTGTCTAAGTAACGGCAACAAAGAAATGACAGAATAACCTTCAGCAGGAAAACAGCCAGTCAGAAGACGCTGTTTCTCTGCTGATAATAGAGAATAATAATGTACATAAAAATCTGTTGATTTCCTCAAGAAACTATCTGTTGCCTGACTCCTGTCTTCTGTCGTCACACTGTGAGTGGTAATATGTATAAAAATATAATATTAAAGTGAATATATATAATAATAATAATAATATTGGATGAATTAAGAGAATTAACACATAATTCATGAATTTATAATTCCACGGGAGGACAGGGTAGCAATATTATCTGGACTTGTTTCCACTGCACTCAGACCTCTGTTTGTTTTAGATGGGCTGTAATTGCCTCTCGTGTTTTGAGGGTTCAGTATTTGGTAGCTTTTGGCAATTTATTCTGTATTTGATTGATGCTAGAAGGAGATTCTTTAGTACTGCTAGCTTTTTGATCTGTTTGAACTGGGTGATCTAATTTAGAGCTCTTAATGGACCTATTTTTATTATTCCCTTGGGTTCCGTGTGGAACATAGGGCTGGCTACAACAACACATCTACACTTTGTTCTGTTCTCTGCTTTCCTCGTCCACGTTTGTCCATAATCTCTCATCCCTTCCTCGCCATGCGATCTCCTCCATGTCTCCCTCACACCAACGACGCACTCATCGCTTCCTGCTCATCGTCCACTCGAGTGATGGCCTGCATTGAGACCGATGTCATTCCACGGCCTCTTCAACGTATGCCCCATCGATCCATCTCCATTTTATCGCACATATTTGTTGAGCAATTGGCTCTTGCTTGTTGGTTTGTTCCTATAGTTTCTTGTTGCCGATTCTTTCTGGCCATTTGATTTTCAATATGGAACGAAGGCAGCCGTTGATAAAAGTCTGAAGTCATCATTTAGGTCTTTTCTTGTGCTATTGCTTGGTTTGTTAGACACTTAACTAAGCCTGCCTTAACAGTTAACGGATGAGATGAATTAAAGTCCGAATATCTATTAGCAGAATGCGTTGGTTTTATTATAAGCACTAGTGTGTAGTTTACCTTCTTCTATTCGTTTTATTTGACAATCTAACATCATAGCTAATTCTCCTTGTTCATTTCCTGATCCAAATGTAAATTGTATTCCCTTCGCTAGTGAGTTTATACGCGTCAAGAAGCTAGAGATATATTCTGTTTTTAACACTGTGAAAGTGTCGTCCACATGTCTCCACCATTTTGGAGTAGGATTAAATGTATTAAGAAGCAATATTTTCCCAGCTGGCCATAGATATATCAGCTATGAAATTGTGCTCTAAACGTGGTCATCAGTAAATATAATCCTGTATAACACTGTGAGACATTATCAAAATACATTTTACCCATAATGGAATTATACTCTAACATAGTGCACAAGTTTTATTCTTATACCCATCCCACCTACTTTAGCAGAATCTACGATTCGTTCAGTCGTTGACTTTATTGTTTTTACGGTATGAAGATGTACTACTTAAACAGATAAGAGAATCCTTAACAAGTAAATGTGGATTCTAATTTAAATCCTTTGACGAGGAACAATTGCAGGGCAAGTCTGGTGCCAGTAGCCACGATAACTCTAGCTCCAAAAGCGTATATGAAAGTTGGTGTAGTTAAAAATCTAGGTTGTGAGGTCGTATACCACTGTTTCTTTCGTGGTCTTGGATGCGATCATAACTTGTATTCACCTTGGTGTAATGGCTCTACAGTCTTTCGGCAGTATCTGTATAAACAACGCGTGCTGATCGAAGTTGGGTGAGGTTCCCTTGCTCACTGTCTGTTGACCTGCTTCAGGATGTAGACAACGGACGGTATCTTTACTTTGAGTTCTCAAGACAGGCCTTTGAACCTAGAGATTGTTGCATCGAATATTGAAGTAGGACTTTGATTCTATTTCGTTAGTTTCCAGATCTTAATTAATGATCGGCGCACAGATTTTACTTGAAGTAATCGTCTTTTTGATGCTGTTGGGGCGATTTGTGACTGTGCAACAGAAAGAAGGGGAATGCAAAGACCGGTTTCCTGAGGTCAGACTACAACAATTCGGTTTTAGTTGTTACAACAGACAGTAGTAGCAGCCTCACCCAGACAGTATCATCAGTCCTTACACAATATACGTGACCCATAGTCTGTTTGCATAAAAATATCTGTTCCAGTTAACCAAGTTGATTGACTAATAAGCAAATGTTTACATGTTTGTTTAAATGCATTAAATGTCCAATATTCAACATAACATTGTATCGATACTTATTATCCCCATCTGGAGAAGACGAAGAAACTAAAATATACATTAATTTTTTTATTACTGATTAATATAAAACAGATATTTTGTCAGTATATACCAAATTATTATTCAATTGAACCCTTGAATGAAATGAATTCAATTTTGTTTTAATGCATAAAAGTTATTACAAATTTCAATGTGTGAATATTTGAATAATGCGATATGTACAGTGTATATAACCTTGAAAATATCCAAGATTATTTTATCGATTTTTTAAAATAATTATTCATCCATCTATATATGTACACACACACACACACGTGACTGAGGCATAACCTCTCTTCATTATTATACGGTCTTCTCTTGTGCATATGGTGTACCAGGTAGTGGAGTGAATCCAGGTAGTTTGGAGTTGTCCATCTCTTTGAATTCTGGTGTAATTGCTACAAATTTAAATCGACCACCCATTTGTTCATTAGTGATAAGCATTTCACATGCAGAGAATAGCTCATTCTGTTCTTTTTCTGATTTACATTTAGACAATAAAATCTGAAAAATGTATAGAAAAAAAAGACAATAAAAGAAAACCATTTAAATTTTAGTACTTTGATTAAACATTAGGTAATTATAGATATATTATTATTATTATTCCCTTGGGTTCCGAGTGGGGCATAGAGTTGGCTACAACAACATATCTTCACTTTCTTCTATTCTCTGCTGTCCTCTTCAACTGCATACACGATTGCCTATAATTCCTTATCTCCTCCACGCACGATCTTCTCTGCGTTACACTCACACCAATGACGTATTCGTCGCTTCCTATTGGGATTCCACTCGAGCGATGGCTTGCATTGAGCATGATTTCATTCAGCGGCCTTCTCAACGTATGCCCCATCGAACCATTTCTCCATTTTCTCCGAAATATTTGTTGAGCAATCAGCTCTTGTTTGTTGCCAGCCAGCCAGAGTTTCTTGTTGCTAATTCTTTCCGGCCGGTTAATCATCTGGCTGGCCATTTGATCTTCAGTATGGAGCCAGCCAGCCAGCCAGCGAAGTGGGCAGCTGTTGATAAAAGCCTGCAACTTATTAGAAATTCTATTCGTGACACCAATGCCAAGTTTCTGACCCGTATGGAAAAAATGACTGACTGACTTCATATTTGTGTTGGAAATTCGAATCTTGTTGCTAATGGATGGCTGAGGTGTAGTGCAGAAGATTTCCAAAATGGTTTCAGGTTGATGACAGTGTATCTTACCTTCCCCATTTTGGCTGCCTGTGGTTGAAACGATGCTTCCTAGCTGGATAAGTGAAGGCAGGAAGTAACCTCTGTCAAATTTCTCCCGATGATGGTGCCGGTTGTTGGTGCTGTTCGTTGGTTATCTTCACCATCTCCGTCTCCACCTTCTCTATGTTCACCTAGAGTCCTTTCTTCACTGTCTTCCAGCCTCTTCTACAAGTTTGTTGGTTCTCGCCTGTGAATTAAAGACGAGAGATGCGTAAGATGCTGAGTGCCGAATAAATTAGGTAACAATGTACTGAGTTCAACTCAAATCATAGAAACAATAGAAAAGCAAGATTACAAATTATAAAAAGGTGGTGAGGTTAAGGCCAATGATTACGTAATCAAATGAGAGAATAAAGATATCCCTGTCCTGGTAACTGGATGTCTTTATTCTCTCATTTGATTTCATAATCTTTGGCCTTAACCTCATCCCGTTTTATAATTTCTAATCTTGCTTTTCTATTGTTTCTATCATTTGAGTAAATGAAAAATCCCCATATTGAAATCAAAACAAGATTTTGAGCGAACACAATTGTGGTTTCGATAACTTCTTCTTCAGGCTCTACGCTTATAAATTCACGAATAATAGAGTATATATAGCCAATAAAGGCAAATAAAAATATTATTTTCATTTATTAGGCACTCAGCATCTCATGCATCTCTCGTCTTTACTACGTAACTCCTTTACCATTGTATGCACACATTTATTTTGTTTAAACTTGAACTGCATCTGTAAAAACTATATGAGCGCAATTTTCTGAGCACTGTTCACTAATTGTGGAACCTTCTGTCAACTGACATTATGGAAAAAAATTTGCAAGTATGTTAAAACTTTTCTGTACATAAACGTCATAATTTATTTAGACTGTAAGCAGCAGCTGAGCTGACGAGAAGCCAACGAAATAGACAATGATGGTGCCATCGTCTTATCCTGCACAAACCACTGTTTTTGTCCTTGCTTTATTCAAAGACTCTGTTATTTTTACATATTGCTGTTCTTTCCCCCCTCCCCCCACACTTCTGTTTGTCATCTCTCTTTACTCCCCTCTTTTACGCTGTGTTTGCTACATGGAAGGAGACTGGCGACTCGAACTGGTGGACAATTGTGCAAAGTTCTATGTTGAACATAGCCAGTCAGACGTTGATAATAAGCTCGGTCCCAAACGAGCGAAACGGCCCTCACCAGGAATGTATATATCCTGTCTACCAGCTTAGAAGAATTTAATACACAGAAATGTACTATTAATAATCTTATTATCACCCATTCAGTTAGCACTGAAGTGAAAATTGTAAATATGTCGAGAAATCCGCTAAGTTGACTACGATACATAACCCCGAAACTACTAAATTTAGTGGCAAAAAACTTAGAACTGCAGGATTTCGTGTACATCTGCATTCCCAAGGAAACAAACCTAACACATTAGCTAAACAGCTAAACTTCCTCCCCTTGATCTTATTTGTTTATTTTTATCGTTATTGTTTATTTATTAAAACACAGACATGGTATGTTATAGGCACTGCAATCTTAAAGTATGTGTGAGGACTTTAATAGCGCCCGAACGCCATGAATCAAACAAGTGGTTATCTTCAGAGGCAGTCGTCCCTCAAGTCTCTAGCTTGAAGTCTCACCCACAAGACAATCTAGAGAGAGGTGTCAGTAGCTGCCTTCCCATGGTTGCCGGTGACGAAAACAAGTTCATGAGCTATTCGATCCTAATTTGAGATTCTGGAGGCCATGTACACCGTAGGTTTGGAATCACAAGTCCGATTATAGGCTCTAGACGTTTACAATAGCCCTTTGACTTTTGTGAATACGGATTACCTGGCAACATGTAAGAGCATTTGAAGACAGGAAGATTGAAGTGTACTCATCCTCAGCTGTACACGGTCATTTGTACAAGCTCATATGATCATATTGACAAAGAATTAATCTGTTTCACAGCCACAAGGGCATAAATACAGGCAAAGAAAGACAGGATGAATATGCTGCATCATTGGTTGCTATTGACACTCCTGTTAGTGTTATATAGTGATACTGAGACCAAATAAAAACAACAATAGTATTTTGGATGGTGATAAGCTCTCAGTGTTGTACAATCCACTTTATTGATCAAATTAATTACAGTAAACATTACTCATAAAAGCAAAGATATATCTATACTCAATAGGTTATTTATCCTACCTGTAATCTAGTGAACAGACCCATATTGATGAGAAAATAAGCCTGAGTAACTGGACCATGAAGAGTCACTAGGAGAAATGGGAAAATAAAGAGGGAGATATAAAGTAGGAATATGACTAATATATACATATATGCCAGGTTCAGTTCGAAAATCTGATAAACCAAACTTACAATCTTAACGCCTACATCAGATGAAAACCTACAACAATTCAAAGCATCGGTCCTCGACCGTTGTCACAAGTTTATAAATATCAAACCCAACGGAAGGTCCATTATAACGAAGCGGAATTATAAGGAGCTGAAAGAACCTATGAGAAATGAAGAGATTATGGTATTACGTTCTGATAAAGGCGGAGGAATCGTAATCATGAATCGCAAGGACTATATCAGTTAAATGCTGACTATACTACCCGATGAATGCAAATTCACAAAACCAGTCAACGAGAAAAATATGACTGAACAGACCGAACAAAAGACTGAATCTTTCATGAGCAACGAAACGTTCGAATCCCTAAGACCATCTGACTCAAATATACCACAACTTTACGGACTCCCGAAAGCATACAAGGAGGGTATCCCTTTTCGCCCGATCCTCGGCATGACCAATTCGCCTTATCACCGTACAGCCCAATGGTTAGCAGACCTACTAGAAACAATCAGAAGACAAGTTTCCTGCTACGCAGTTCGACATTTATTCGACTTTATGGACTCAATCGAAAGCGTCAACGTATCCAACAATACCATGCTTTCATTAGATGTCACGTCATTATTCACAAACGTCCCACTGACTGAAACAATATGCTACATATGCGAACTTATTCACTCAAAGGGAATAAACATCAGTATGCCCACCGAGAGTCTTAAAGAACTCCTACTGAGGTGTACCCTGAATGTTCAGTTCTCTTTTAACAACGAAATATACCGCCAAAGGGATGGTATCGCTATGGGCTCACCACTAGGCCCATTGCTTGCAGATTTCTTCATGGCAAAACTCGAAAACACATGCCTGAAGAAAATGATAGACACCTTCGAATTCCATAAGAGGTACGTCGATAACACTTTCATTATCGTCAACAATGAAGAAAATCAAGACGACATCTTAAATTCCTTTAACAACTGCCACCCTATGATTAAGTTCACGTTAGAGAAAGAGTCTAACTCCAAAATATCTTTTCTTGACGTTCAACTAACAAGACGAGAACAGGATGGAACACTGAAAAGATCTATCTATAAAACGTCGACGTGGAATGGACAGCTTACTAACTTTCACAGTTGGGTACCCCTATACACCAAACGAAACTTGATCCGTTCACTCAGCTACAGAGTTCGCAGAATCTGCATCTTAGATAGCACAGAAGACGAACTAGACAATCTCAAGAGAATCCTCGTCGAGAATTGTTATCCAGAACGATTTATTGCAAAATCCATGGATTGTTGGAGGCAATCGGCCACAAGAAGCCTTGTGGCCTGGTACAGTATGCACAAGAAGAGATGCATCAAACTTGTGGGTGAAGACTGAGGTACTTACTGCCTGGATGTCAAAACCAAGGCAGGCAGTCGTCCTACAGGAACTAAAAACTACCTTCTATGGGTATTTTTAAAAATGTTATGAATGCATAAAGAAAACAATATTTATTCACATTACGATATGTAGGTGAACGTAAAGGGAAGGAAAACAGTTTCCCATTTATATTTATTAGAAAAAAAAACACAGCTGCCATCACTATGGAAACAACAACTGTTCAGCACTCCCAGGTTTTTCAATGGTTCTCTAACCTATGTCACCTCATGATGAAATCATGAAACCAATCAAATCCCAGCAAACCAACGCTTTAATATCAACCTGATGCTCACTACAGCAGGTCTGGTGTGAGAAAAAATACTCGTCGATAACATTCGCTAGTGGTCGCACCATATCATGAATTGGCAGAAGTTAGAATTCATTGACTGGCCATTGAATCGGGTCCCAGTAGTGGTTTAATGATCTACGAGCTCACCTTGTAACTAGAAGGTCCTGGGGTTTGAGCCCTGGCGGTGGGTGCGTACCGATGAAGAGTTCCAAAGAAGGGGGATGAAACAGCTGTCCAGTAATCCCCGTTGGTTTTCCAATGGTCCCCTCTAACTGATGTAAAGTTCATGATGGAATCCTGAAACCAAACCAGATTTTGCTAGGTTGTCATGCTGCAATAGTCTGATTAACCCCGCGGCCTACTCCTCTGACTTTACAATCAATGTAGCGTACTAGAAAAACTAAATTATTTTGTTTAATGGGTTCCACAGGATTGTTTAACTAACACAATTTGCTTTTGAGTAAGTTTAGTGGTTTGAATTTCACTTTTATTCCTGTCTTGTTAAGTAGGAATTCTATGTAACGGTTTCAGATATTCCCTTTTTGTATGACAGGACTACTGATGTTTTAAATTCCTTATTGTCGGTGTTTTCAACTCTCTGTGTATGTTTCTCATGCACATTGTTCTTCTTATTGTTAATTTTATTCTTTAAGAGCTTCTTTCATATTTCTTGACTGACACAGAACTTTCACAGATGGTACAGCAGTTGGAGTTGTCACTCTTCCCTCCATGGAGCACATAAAGCCAGAGAAAGGAGTGGAGAGAGATTCAACAGAGAGACAAATAATAAGCAGAAATATGAAGCAAAAAGAATAGTTATATGGAAGAACAATAGTTTTATTGGATATCATAAATCACAAAGAGTGAATGCATCTATGCCAGCCATTGAGAACGATTTTGAGTCATACACCGATCACCTCCAGCCTTGATTGGTTTTCACCATCCTGAGGACCCTAAATAGCCAGGAAGTCTACGCCTCTCCACGTGACTGGCTGGCTAGAACTAACTGTTGTGGATTTCATTGACTGATGAAGTCATGTTTTGGTCTAACCACTAGTAGCTGTTTTCCAACCTGATCGATGCTGTGTCAGCTAACATTGACTGTCGAGGAAGGCGATGTCCTAACCATCTAGTCCAATCGACATAACTTAACAACCTCACCGACTGATTTTCTATCCTTACCTACCACTCGACGCCTAACCTGAATATTACTGATACTATTATACCACCTAGCATGGGAGATAGAACTCAGGCACCTATAATCGAATACACCTAGAGTTTTCATGTCTTCCACTTCCAATGGCCATATCTCGCTCACAGACATAAAGGAGGATGGAGAGAACTGTTGAGCAGTGCACACGTTTTACCTACTGTCTTTAGGATTATTTAGCTGTTTTGCCCACCAATCTTATTTTCACTGCAATAGCGTGGAGATGAACCGGATTTCAAATATCGGTTCATATGTGTGGTTTTTCTGCAAAAACAGTAATGTTCAACTTTTCATTGGAAGCTCCACTTTCGTGACATTCCAACTCATAAGTGAATTGGATTGTTTCTATTTCAGCTGTAGCACCACATGTTGTTATGTGGTGAGAGATGACTGCTAGTCAAATTGGTAGACAGTAATTTACGTCAATGCCTATGTCCCAAAAATTAGTCATATGAAAACAAGATCACAGACTGACAGCAGACTTTGCGTAGGTGGATACAATTAGCAGACAGATGATCTGACATTCAAGAAACAGCCACAAAGAGATGAAAGATTAACTTTCAGTGAGAAACAACCAATCAGAAGACTGTGTTTATCTGCTCACAATAATCTTTAATAATGTACATGAAAATCTATAAATATGTGTTGATTTGCCTGATAAACGATCTGATCTATAGCCTGACTCTCGCCTTCGGTCGTTACAGTTAAATGCCACCAAAGAGTATGATGGGGCAAGATGACAGGTTTTAAAATCTAATGGAACAGGGTGGAAGAAGAGACTGTTAACGGAAGCTTTATATCTATTGGTTCAACTAAGAATACGTGCAATAGTAATGACTCAACACCTGTCCACGCATAAATCTGGAAAACTGTACTACCTTTACAACAAACAGGAATAAAGAAAGAGAACTGTAAAAACCGAGTTCCAAAGTTGTCTAGGTTAAAATTGATAGTATTGTGGCGTGTGCTACTGATAAGATTTATCAGTAGTATATTCATGTAGAGAGATGTTCATCTGCATAAAAACATCAAATAGCAGGAAGATAGATTTAATGTCAGAGAAAGCAAACGATGATTCAGCATTGCGGAGGTGCATGGGATACGTGAAAGGAACACGGGGAAACACAATATAAAGGAATACCAGAAGATCTGTGCAAATGGTGCGTTGAAGATAAAGTCTACATAATTCGGCTATATAGAGATACTAATTTCCAAGTAAATAATCCTATAACAAATCCCTCGTCTTCTACCCTTACAGTATGACAGTGAGCAATAAACCGTTTGTTGAAACGTCACCCAATAAGTAATACTGGTTCGTGATAGTTTGATATTTTGCTACGTAGCTGCTACAACAATCGTTTTATTACTATTATGTATTGTGTATTTTTAATTTTTTGTTTTTGTCGTTTTTGGGTAAATTAGATGCAATATTGTACTGAATGCTGAAAATTCCTTGCTGTATCATGAGTACTGTTTTTGGAATAAAGCTATTATTATTATTATATATCCAATAAACAAATTAATACGGAATTACATACTACGACACATATGAATTCATATGTTAAACAAGTAATGAAAACGTACCTCTTTCACCGGATTCTTTAACTGTATGGCATAAAAGGCTAAAATCAACATCACAGGTAAGATCTATATTTCCAGGATCAATCAGGGGATCACAAACAGTATGAGCATGAAAACCCTATAAACAAAAAAACAAACAAATTGTGTAAATAATATTTAAATTTAAAACAATTAGTTCCCTTTATGAATTTAGATAAAGCAATGAGAAGAAGACGTAGTTTGTCTGAATCGTGTTATGTGTATTTGCCCAACATATTTCGAACATTCTCATCATCACACGCGGACTTGTCATAGGAATACATATATGAAATTAATAGAGTTAAGAGGTGAGAAAACAGATCACTTAGGTCGAGTTAAAAAGACATATTGAGGGTCAAAATAACAATGAAGATGACTAAACCAAATAACAGAGATAACAGTACATCTAACCTGACTGGTATCAAAACAAAATTTACCAAGAAAGCTTTAGTGTGATGACGAATTGTTGCTTTGAATGCATCAAGGTGGTTTAAACTTCTTAATTGCGAGCTAGGGCTTCCACAAACTTTAGGATACGCCCCAAACACTTTTCATAGATAGGTTTAAAAAATGTGTTAACGTCAATTTTATGTCCTGCGTTTATAATATGTTTCTCAGAAGAGTAGCTAGGTCTCTTGTTCTCACCACTAATGGGTTCTGAATATTCTATTTGTTTCTGGAGCCATTTAGGAATATGCTCTTAAGCCAGCCCTTACTTGCAGAGATCAATGAGTCCCCTCTTCTATGTATGTATATCCACACGTACATTCAAATTGGTAAATACAGGGGGATGTGACATCATTTCTCGCATGCTGAAATCGCTTAGATAGATATATTGGCTTCATATTCTCAATTATTATGATATTAGCTTCATAAAAACTCTTTCTAACAGCAGTGTTTAATGTTTGTCTAGTTATCTAGCTGCTATGATACCCTCTATAGGATAGCTGGATGTACACGTCTTTCTTAGGGGCGAGTTGTAGAATGGATCTTGGTGTTCTGACTACTTCATATCTCCTGATGAACTTGTCTGGATAATTGTTATCAACCAGAGTGTGTGTCAACTTTCTTTCTTCTTCATCAAGTGTGTTTTCAGTGCATATTCGTTGGATTCTACTGAAGAGGCACCTTACTAAGGCTTTTTTGTACCGAACAAGACAGAAACTGTGGTAATTAAAAGTACTGTCCTGTCCAAGTAGGTTTTCTATAAATAGATCTTTTTATTTACTCATCAAGCCGTCGACTAAGCAATATATCTAGGAAAGATAGACAATTATCTTCCTCTTGTACAGATTTAAGTGATATGCTATTCCGAACTTCATTCATCCTATTTAAAATTGAGGTGGCAGAACAAGGCTTATCACTTATGATTACAATGTCGTCTACATACCGTCTATAAAGTGGCACATTTTCGATTGAATCCTCCGATAAATTCTCACTGTACAACATATAAATATCTATATATTAAATATTCCCATCGTAAAATTTAGAACAACACATTTAAGCGAACAATATTGTTTTCAGTTAGATCTCATCAGGCCTAACTCTAATATATATATAAGTTTACAAACAAAAATTCAAATATAAACCAATCATGGTGTTTTGTCTATAGGATAATACGATGGTGAATATAAATTGTGCAGTTAGTCATAATAGTGGTAATGATAATATTAATATTAATAATAATAATAATAATAATAGTAATAATAATGGTCTTATCAATAATAAGGATGAAAGAATGAGGCAATCTGTGATAACACGAATAATGAAAAACAGTATGATTAAACAAACAATTGTTCAGGTGGAAGTAGTCGATAAAGGCTAGTAAAAACAAATGAACCGATTACGTAATGTTAGATTGTAAGGGAAGGAAATGAAACACGTTTATAATGAAGATAAGATTAAGGGATGATAAGAAAGGGGTTGGAAATATAAATAAGGGGTGGTGTAGAAGTCTTTCATTGGTTATGTCTTATTAGGCCACGGGAGGGATAATGGCTGCACGAACTTCTTTTGAATGCATAGTTTAGGTTTAATAGTTCGAATGCCTATCGCCTCAGCTGTGTGCAGTAGACGAATACGAAGTCTATTAGAAAGATTCGGAGGGATACGATGAATTACTTTGAAGGCTTTCGTTTTCTCGACTACATGACCACTATCAATTAGATGTGACAGAATTGAGCTACGGATTGTTTTTGTCTGTCCTTTGCCAAACTATCACGATGGGAGATGTTCACTAACACGTTGGCTAAGCTGTCTAGTAGTACGCCCAACATAACTGTCACCGCAGGTGCAGTTGAATTGATAAATACACATAGATGTGGCAAAACTATCAAGCTTATCCTTCGTTTGCGTCCCAATCATTCGTCGGCTAGAGAATGACAAACATAGGTGTGCTGCGTAAATTGTTCTACGTATACTCCTTCAAAGTCTTTGGAATAGAATCTCACTAGATAAGTCCCCATAAAATTGTAACTTAATAAATAGAGGTTTCTTATGTGCAGTCAGAGTCACAGGTTTCTTCTTTGGTGGTTTCATATGTTTCTTTATGAAACTGCATCGACTACTTCCACCTGAACAATTGTTTGTTTAATCATACTGTTTTTCATTATTCGTGTTATCACAGATTGCCTCATTCTTTCATCCTTATTATTAATAAAACCATTATTATTATTATTACTATTATTAATATTATCATTACTACTATTATGACTAACTGCACAATTTATATTCACCATCATATTATCCTATAGGCAAAACACCATGATTGGTTTATATTTGAATTTTTATTTGTAAACTTATATATATATATAGAGTTCAGCCTGATGAGATATAAATATCTGCTAAAAAGGGTCCTAACGGACTTCCCATATCAACACTATCAACTTGGAGGAAACAGTCACCTTCAAATGTAAACCTAAAATTGTAAGTACATAGAAGTAATAAATCTCTTAAATAAGATATAGGGGACGGGATGAAAAAATTGGTGTGGAAATCTGTCTGTCTGTCTGTTTTCGACATAGAACTTTGCACAAATGTGCGGAAGTTCAAGTCGCCACATTCCGTGTAGCACGCGAAGCAAGAGAAGAAAGTACAAGAAAAGCATAATAGAGACAGTAAGCAGAGGTGTGAGACAAAGGAGTAATAAAGAAAAACAAAACAGTTTCATTGGAGATCGTAAGTCACAGGGAGTGGATGCATCTGCGCCACTTAGAACGATTTTGAGCCATGTCACCAATTGTTTCCAACCATAGATTTTTACCGTCCCGAGGACCCCAGCCTGGAAGTCTACACCTTCCTACGTGGCTGTTGTGGATTTCATTGACTGATGCCAAGTTTTTGTTTGACCGCCGCTAGCTTTTTTCCAGCCTGACCCTACATCCGCTAACATAGCTCGTCGAGGGAGGCGATGACTTGGCATACGTAACACATGTCCTAACCATCTCAGTCTTTGTAGCTTCATGACTTCGTCGATTGATTTCCCCTGTTTACCTAGAACTCGACGCCTAACCTCCATGTTGCTCACCTTATTATGCCACTTTACACGGGAAATAGAACGCAGGCACCTGTGATCAAAGGCAGCTAGTCTTTTCATGTCTTCCACTCTCAGTGACCAGGTCTCACAACCATAAAGGAGGACGGAGCGGACTGATGAGCAGTACACGTCAACTGTTTTGAGTAAAGGCACATTAGTGAATAACGAGTTCAAATCAAAAGAGTACATGTTCTTACTCATAATATTAATATCATCAAGAAAATTAACTAATTCAAATGTATCTTTTAACACATACTTACAGAATTGTGTTTTGACTGGATGCAATAATTTTACTAACCATTTAGCAAGTTTATGCGTTGGGGATTTGCATATTGACAATATAGGACGTAGAGGATTATTGAGTTTATGTATTTTCGGCAAACCATACACATGCTGGAATTTACATTCTGATGGTTTTAAAGAGTCAAATTTATCTTTACTTATAGCATTTACCAATTTGAATGTACGTGTGGATATACATACATAGAAGGGGGGACTCATTGATCTCTGCAAGTAAGGGCTGGCTTAAGAGCATATTCCTAAATGGCTCCAGAAACAAATAGAATATTCAGAACCCATTAGTGGTGAGAACAAGAGACCTAGCTACTCTTCTGAGAAACATATTATAGACACAGGACATAAAATTGACGTTAACACATTTTTTAAACCTATCTATGAAAAGTGTTTGGGGCGTATCCTAAAGTTTGTGGAAGCCCTAGCTCGCAATTAAGAAGTTTAAACCACCTTGATGCATTCAAAGCAACAATTCGTCATCACACTAAAGCTTTCTTGGTAAATTTTGTTTTGATACCAGTCAGGTTAGATGTACTGTTATCTCTGTTATTTGGTTTAGTCATCTTCATTGTTATTTTGACCCTCAATATGTCTTTTTAACTCGACCTAAATGATCTGTTTTCTCACGTCTTAACTCTTTATTAATTTCATATATGTATTCCTATGACAAGTCCGCGTGTGATGATGAGAATGTTCGAAATATGTTGGGCAAATACACATAACACGATTCAGACAAACTACGTCTTCTTCTTATTGCTTTATCTAATATTTAAATGTTAAGGCTTATTTTTATCTAAGTCTCATCTTTTCAACCACAGGCCAACGGCACGGATGAGAATGTCGAAGTCGATGAGAATCAGAAAGGCGCGAAACAGACCTTCATCACTTTGAAATCAGTCTGGAAATCTTCTGCACTAACTTAGTCAGCATAAAGAACAAAAAATTGGACTTTCAATACCAATGTGAATGAAGTCAGTCAGTTCTTCTATATGGCTGAAAAACTTGGCGGACGCATTACGAAAGGCATTTCGAATTGGGCTACAACAACTGCCTTCTTAACCAGCTCCATATTGAAGATCAGATAGCTCAAGTGGAATCCGGATGGAAGTCCGAAGGTGACATGAGGGAAATCGAGTTAGGAGGAAGTGAAAGCCTACAGGAAGTCGTGGGATCAGCTAAAGAGAACTACAGATATGATAGAGAAGATTTGTAGCTCAGGTGGATGATTTTGATGTAGTCGTGTTCTCTGAGCTAGCTGGATAGTTAATTTGTGAAGCTTTCATCGCCCTACCAGGCGACATCTCTAGCGCATACTTCAATTTGAAGTGAGCTTTTAGATTTCTCCACGAGTTTATTAATCATCTCTCCTGGTGAAATCACATCTTCTAGGTTACGTGTATTGGGTAACAGGTAACCTAGAAGGTGTGAAAACACACAAAACACACAACCAATCACGTCCAAAGTCACCCACAAGGAGAGATGACTAATAAACTCGTGGAGAAATCTAAAAGCTTACTTCAATTCGAATTGAAGTATGCGCTGAAGCTGTCACCTAGTAGGGCGATGAAAGCTTCGCAAATTAACTATCCAGCTCAGAGAACACAACCATATCAAAAAGAGACCTACAGAAAACAGGATCAAATGGGGATGTGCTGTTGAAACTCTATTATTCACTCGGGACCCAAGACAATAATAATAATAATAGTAGTAGTAATAATAATAATAATAATAAAATGTTTCAAGTATTGGTTTGTAGACATTTCGGTTGATTGGTTACAGGATTTCATGATTTCATTTCAAACCAATACTTGAGGAATATCGATGAGATGCTCACTGGCGACTGGCCCTATTCAGGTGGGTAGTTATCTAGGGCTCTAGTGGGAATTCGTGACCAGTAGGGTGCAGCAGGTAGCGTGTGAGGACAAATACTCGTCGATAACATTGGCTAGAGGTCGCGCTATGTCGTGTGAATTGGTAGAAGTTAGAATTCATGAGCTGGCCATTTGATCAGTCCCCAGTGGCTTAATTGCCTACGAGCCAGCTCACCATATATAACCAGAAGGTCCTGGGTTCGAACCCTGGCGGCGATGGGTGCGTACTGATGAAGAGTCTCAAACTAGGATGAAACAGCTGTTGAGTACTCCCAGTTGGTTTCCCAGTGGTTCTCTAACAAATGTAAGCTCATGATAAAATCCTATAACCAACGGGAGGGACTTGAAAGATGTTACTTCGTTCACTTATCTAGGGAGCATTGTTTCAACTACAGGCAGTCGGAACGGACGAGGATGTCAAATCGAGAATCGGGAAGGTGAGAAACACATTCATCAACCTGAAACCAATCTGGAAATCGTCACTCAGCCAACATCAACAACAAAATTCGGTAGGATTTTCAATACAAACGTCAAGTCAGTTCTTCAATACAGATAAGAAACTTGGCGGGTGGGTCACAAAGAATATTTCCAACAGCCTGTTGCAGACCAGATCTTCATCAACAACTGTCTTCGCTGGATCTATACTGAAGATCAGATGGCCGGAGAGAACCACCAACTATGGGAACAAACAAAACAAAACCCAATCGCCAACCAACAAATATGCAAGAGAAAGTGGATTGAGATGGATTGGACACTCGTTGAGGAGGCCAGTTGGTGACATCGCGCGTCAGGCCATTGCTAGAGTGGAACCAGGCCGAAAGAGAAGCGGCGAGTGGGACGTCAGTGCAAGGGTTACATGGAGGAGATGGTGTGAAGAGGAATTAAAACAGTATGGATTAACATGGATTCAGGTGAAAAGTACAGCAGAAGCAAGACAGAAGTGGCAAGTGGAGACGTGCAGTTGAAGCCTTATGTTCCACTAGGAACCCAAGGGAACAATAATAATAATAAACAAAATTTTTCTTAAAAACTTACACGAAATGTGTCGCCTTTCTCACCTTCATGTCCATAATCGATGAGGAGAGCAGCTCCACCTGTTTGACTAATTCGTTTACACAACACCTGAGTTAAACACAACATATCAGGACATATTTCCACTGCATTTCGATCAGATAGATTTGGAACTAACTGTCAGGAGAAAATAGAAAAAAGAAAATAAATAACATATTGATGAAAAGACAATAAAAAGTGATTGATCTTAATTTCATCAAAACTTCGATCATATCAACTAGATACTACTTATGCAAGATTAATATAATCAATATTTCATCAGATGAATGTAGAGCTGTGGTTCATTTATTTTTATTTTTTTTATTTTTGATTCCACACTGTATTTTTGGTACAAGTATGGAATTTTCAGCATGGATATCGGTAGCCCAAAATTTGCAGGCCAACCATAGATATCAGGTGTGCGTCGGCGGGGGATCGAACCTCAGACCATGTACATGGTCGGCGAGAGTCCTAACCACTGTGCAACCGACGCACATTGGCTTATATACTCCAAATTTAAGCCACTGGATGTCTAGCTTTGTCTGCTTTAGCTTCAGCAACTATAGAGTATAACTGTAACGAAAAAAGATAAGAGAAACGGTAAGCACATTAAAAGTGGGCTACGTCGGTGGATAATAAACTATTCTAACTGGTTGGTGTTTGGTCTAAGGTTAAACAGTGGGATTATAAGTTGTCCACTGGGATTATTTCCTTATCACAACGTAAACTAGATTCAACCATTGACTTGAAATGTTGATTTCAATTAGAAGTTAACTGGTAGATGGTGACTAGCAGTGAAATCTTGGACAACACGCATTTAGTCCTATTTAGGACTTGTAAACTGGACGTAACTGCCTTCCGCAGTGAGTGATGATGCTCCCACCGAGGCTCCAACCCAGTGTCCATAGTTTCAAACGCCAAAGCGTTATTTACTAGACTACTTGGGCCACGAGAGCTACCTCTTGTGCAACGGGTCATCTGAATTATTGAATTGAATTTTAGATTTTCCCGTCGATTGATTGGACCGAAGTGCTCGATCTCAGGTTGATATGTCTATCGGCTTCTTGTGCAGATGCTTCGATGAAGTTGATTGGTGAATGGTAACTAGCAGTGGAATCCAGGATAACGTGTATTTCGTCTTATTTGGGACTCGTCAATTGGATGTGTCGTTCGAAATTGTGGGCACTGGGTTCAAGCCTCGGCGGGATGAAGGTACATCCAGATGACGAGTCCCAAATAGGACGAAGTGAGCGTTGTCTTGGATTCCACTGCTAGTCACCATCAACCAATTACCTTCTACTTACATACCCGGACATCATCGAAGCATCTGCACAAGAAGCCGATAAACATGTCAATCTGAATTCGAGTACTTCGATCGAATCAATCGACGGGAAAATCTAAAATTGAATTAAATAGTTGATTTCAATTGTTAGCCGCCTCCTATCAGTTTGCATCTATATACTACTGATAAGTATTGCCAGTAGCAAACTCTGCATTATCAGTCCTCACACGCACAATATGGCTCTTACATAGTCTGGTATATGAAACACCTAATTCAGGTAACTGAGTTTGACTAGTTTCGGCATAGAACTGTATACAGAAGTGCCACATTTCATGCAGTACATAAAGAAGGACAAAAGATAGAGGGGAAAAAGAGATTCGAAAGAACGCTAATCAGCAGAAATACGAGGGAGAAAGAATAGTAGCATGGAAAAACAGGAGGGTTTATAATGGATGTAGGAGTGTGGTGAAAGCTGGCTGTTAGTCAAAATTGGTGGACAGTAATTTACGTCAATGTTTATGTCCCCAATATTAGTCGTGAGAAAAGTGAGAACAAAGGCTTTCCGTAGGCGGACACAGTCAACATTTAGATGATCTGACATTCAAGAAACAGTCACAAAGAGAGATGCAAGGTTAACTTTCTGTGAGAAACAACCAATCAGAAGACTGTCTTTCTGCTAACAACAATCTATATTATGTACATGAAAATTTATAAATATGTGTTGATTTCCATAATAAACGATCTGTCGCCTGGGCCTTGTCTTCTGTTGTTACAGGAGTTCACAAAGAAAGAATGCATCTTTGTTTTTGAAAACAATTTTGAGTCACATCGCCACTAGACTCCAGTCATTGATTCTGAGCATCCCAAGGATACCAACCAGGAAGTCTACACTTCCCCACAGAGCTGATTCACACTAACTGTCATGTTTTGGTTTGACTACCTCTAGCTATTTTCCAGCTAGCATTGCCAGTCGAAGAAGGTAATGACTCCGAATGTGCGGCACATGTCCTAGCAATCTTAATCAACTTACCTTCAAGAACATTATCGACTGACTCACCCCCCACCAACTTACCTAACTTCACTATTATCTATCATATTATACCACTCAACGCAGGAGATAGAAAGCAGATATCTATTATAAAATACAGTTAGTCTTTTCATGTCTTCTATTTTTAATGATCATGGCGCCTAGCCATAAAAGAGGACACTGATAAGTCTTGTACAGTACACACGTCTTTTGATCGTGGCTGAGTTCAAACAACAACAATAATAAAAAAGAGGAGCTATATACGAAACTGGATCAAGATTCAAGGTGAAAAGTCTAATATCCGTGTGTATAAGTTTACATATATGCATAAAATCTTTGATTTTTGGTTGTACATCATTTTATAGTTTCCTTTGTGTTCTCAGTGGAACAGAGAGCTTCAAGTTTCCAATTTTTACTAGCTGTGTGGTGTTACTTTTCTATGAGGTAGGATTACTAACCTCATACTCAACCTTCCATAGCCTGCTACCAGCTAAACGAAGCTAAGAAGTGCGTTGGCCGCCAGTCAAACTCGCACCTCCTGCGTGACTCGCAAGGATTCTGTCATTGAGCGACTGAAGCCTCATATGTTTGTTAGACATTTAAAATATCCTCTATGAGTATCCCTTATAAATTAGAAAATAAAACGACAAAACTAAAGAACCAAAACGTTCACTATGAAAATATTGAAGCATCTGGAAGTAAAAGCGAAAATTACAAGTTAATACATTAAAACAATCAAGTACACCGTCCCCACCCCCATTAACGGCCTGGTACGGCTGAGGGTGAGTAGATTGCTGAAATACTCTCGTGTGGCACCACGCCTTCACAGCCTCTGACGGGTAAGTCCTGTTCACTGCATTTACGCCACATCGGGGGGGGGTTGTTCTTCACACAGGCGAAAGGGAGAATGAAAACATTTGGTGATTACAACCGGACTGGTGGATATATTGATCTACCTAAGGGAGTTGGAAAGCCTTGATTCCAAAATTGTACTGTATACGTGCTCGAGAATTCGAACGAGACGAATAGCATATGAACCTGTTTTAGTTACCGGAAATCATGGAAAGGCAGCTCCTGACGCTGGTTGGTCCACTGGCTTGTCGATCAGGCTTCAAGTGAAATGATATTAGGAATGGAACCAGCCGACACCGTTGCCTAGTTTTCTAGCCGACAGTAAGCTCGGAAAAAGAAGGAAGGTTGGGCGTGGGAATAACAATATCCCACAACCGTACAGAAATAACAACACGACCACTGTTGAAAGAGACATTCAACCATATTGTCGTTTTTATTTTTCTTGCTTGACAGATTAGGTCAGTGTGATTATTGACTTCCGAAGATTCTTTGACATTGTCACCCCCTAATTAGGTGAATCTACGACTGCCGGCGATCACTTCAAAGGATTCTTGAATAGACTATCACCACCACGACCTACAACTCACCCAGAAATACCATCAGCAGCACGCACAGAACTGCCTGCCAGTGGACACCAATCCTCCAACAAAATCAAAAAATCTTGAATTCACTTAAGCTGCTGAAGTCCGGTTGGGAATGCAGCAGAACCAGACGGATATCCCACTGAAGCACTGGAAACGGAACCAGAGACTGCAGCAGCTATGCGCACACCACTATTGCACAAGGTTTGGAAGGAAGGAAGGAAAGGTACCTACTGATTCGGAGAAAGACTACTTTGTCAAACCACCAAGTTAGGGTGAATTAAGCTTGTGCTATAGCTGGTGAGGAATCATGCTCTTGTTCACGCTGAGCAAAACATTACGTCACGTCATCCTGGAGAGACTGAAAGATACACTGGATGCAGAACTCCGCCAGCACAGAACAAGGTGGATTCAGGAAAGGCAAATCATATGGCGATCAAATCGCAACTCTACGCATCGTTATCACAGCACAAAGGATAGGATGGTAATCAACCCTGTATTTGAATTTCATCGACTTTGAAACGGCCTTCGACAGCGTCGACTGTGAAGTAATTTGGAAACTACTTCAATACTACGACGTTCAGTGCCCAAATCTTTATCAACCGAATTCAACAACTATATGGTAATATTACGTGTCATCAGGTGATTCACAACCGAAAACTCAGTGAAGCCTTTGAAATGAATAAAGGAGTAAGATAAGACTGACAACTGTCACCGATGATATTTCTGATTGTGATAGGCTGGATTATGGCGTCAGACTGTGGGTAACGAGAAGACAAGAATTTTTTGGACCAATAGGAAGACTTCACAAGATCTGGATTTCGCGTGTGGATGATCTGTGTATAATGTCACACAAACTCGAAAACTTACAGGTGAAAACCAAAAAACTGACTGGAAAAGCGGCGAAGAAAGGACTCCAGATGAACATAGTGTTATGTACTCGTCGAGTAGTTAATAGTCCTGACGCGGAAAGAGGGAAATCAGAAGACCACCAGGTTTACGCTGATCCTTGTATTTTCCAGATAAGGAAAATAAATGTCACACAAGAGTGTGAGTGAATGGTACGCAGTTTACGAAACGTGGGAACAAGTCTGAACAAATATACAGTACAAAAGTATATATGAAAATGACTAATACACATGAACCAATAAATCGACAGTCTTAACATGATTGGTTGTAATGCCATGTGACAACAAGGTCATACATGTTTATTTAGTTAGTGGACAGAAAAAAGCATATTGTCAGTTATAATGAAATATCGATCCATATACACATGACAAAATATAATAGACTGTCAAAAACAAAACACACACACATCATGTGGGTACATATCACATAGAGAAGATGGAAGTGATGAAGATAAGCGACAACAGCATCAATCACTGTCAACGGGAGAAATTCGGAAGAGGTCACTTCCTTTACTTATCTGAGACGCATTGTTTTAAGTTACAGGCGGAGGCACGGATGAAAATGTCAAAGCCAGAATTCGAAAGGCACGGTACGCTTTCAGCACTCCAAAATCAGCCTGAAAATTTCACACACAGCATAAAGAAAAAAAATCGGATTCTCAACACCAATGTTACGTCAATCAGTTCTTCTACAAGCATAAGAAACGTCGCGCGTCACGAAAAGCATTTTGAACAGGCTACTGTAGACTTTTTTACCAATACCTTCCTTCGCTCCATATTGAGGATCAGGAGGCCAGCTAGCAACAAGAAACTATGGGGACAAACCAGCCAATAGGCAACTGCTCAACACAAATATTTAGAGGAAAATGGAGGTGGATTGGGCACACGCTGAGGAGATCGTCGAAAGGAAATCGTGTACCAGGCCAAACCTTGAATGGAGCCCGAATGGGAAACGATAAGTTTAGTGATGGTCCAAGGTTGACATGGAAGGGATCGTGTGAGGAGGAGCCCAGAGACAATCGACAATTGTGGGACCAGCTAAATAGGACCGTAGAGAATAGGATCAAGTAGAGATGTACTGTTGAAGCCCTATGTTCCAATCGCGATTCGAGGGACGGATACGCCAAATGTATTAAAACATTCTGAGCTGAAGGTTAGAAAATGTAATATTGACAAAGCATATCTTCGTGGACTATTAATATTCTTTGTCTAAGGTTCTTGCATCAACTGTGATCAATCGTCTGTTCGTCTGTTTTCGACATAGAACTTTGCACCGATGTGCAGCAGTTCAATTCGCCATACTCCGTGTAGCACACAAAGCAAGAAAAGAAAGTAGAAGAAATGCGAAATAGTGACAGTAAACAGAGATCTGAGGCAAAAAGAATAGTATTATCGAAGAACAATATAGTTTCATTGGAAATCATAAGTCACAAGGAGTGGATGCATCTGCACTAGCCATTGAGAACGATTTTGAGCGATATATCACCAATTGTCTCCAGCGTTCAATGGTTTTAACCATCCTGACGACCCCAGTCAAACAGGAATTCTACATCTCCCGACGTGGCCGGCTTAAACTAACTGTTGTGGATCTCATTGACTGGTGAAGCTATGTTTTGGTTTGACCACCGTTAGCTCTTTTCCAGCCTGACCCTATGTCAGCTGACATTGCCTGTCATCGAGGAAGGCGATGACTAGGACTGTGACCATTTACATAAATGATATCAGTATCCGTTCAAGTCTTAACGGTGTTGCATTTTCTCCCTATTACTTTGGGTTCCGAGTGGAATATAAGTTTTCAACCTTTGAAGTTTTAGTAGCAGTGCTGTTTTCCAGGGTAGGATTGCTAGCTTCATGTCCAAACTCGCTTGTTTTCCAGGCCCACTACCGGCTAGGATATGATTATGAGCAATAGTTTGTGCTCGAAACGTCATCAGTTAATATAACTGTGTGATTTAATAAAAATAAAATCTTATCCATAATGGAGTTATACTCTACCACAATGCCCAAGTTTTATACTTATACCGGCTAGGAAAACCAGTTTAAGTTTAGGAGGACATCAACTGGGAATCGAAAGTAACTCTCTTACAGGACTGGCGGATATTCTACTGTCGAACCACCGATGCAGACTTATCAAGTAGGATTTTTAATGATTTTCAATGAGAAATGCAATCAGATGCTTACAGGTAGATAGGCGATTGAAGCTGGAGTTCTTGTGTTTGAACGGATAAAGCATAATTCATTGGTATTCGCCATAGAGCTAATTAAAACTTCATTCCAATTCCCATCATGTTTCTAGCAAAAAAAGACAAGGCGGTAAGAAAGTTAATCCAGAGAAATACATATCTTTTTGGTGAAAATATACGCAAATTGGTTCCTTCGTAACATACTACTGGAACGACAGAAGACAAGGGCCAAGCGACAGATCGTTTATTCAGAAAATCAACAGATATTTATAGATTTTTATGTAGATTATTATTCGTAATTGTTGGCAGAGAAGCAACGTTTTTTGATTGGTTGTTTTCCTGCTGAAGATTATCCTGTCATCTCTTTGTTGCCGTTTCGTAGACAGTCCGTTGATATATCTGCTAATCGTATCCTCCGATACTGAGTTTGTTGTGATTGCCTGTTGAGTTTCTTAAGATTAGTCCTTGTTCTTGTTTTTTCTCATGACCCCGATTTGGGACGTAAATATTGACGTAAATTGGTGTCTGCCAATTTTGGCTAACAGGCAGCTCTCACCACACTACTACCATAGATGCAACTGAATTCGAAACTAAGTCACACGTCAAACACCTTTGGTTGTGTATTGGAACAAAGCAAGAACAACAGTGGTTTGTACAGAATAATATGGTACCATCATTGTCTATTTCGTTGGCTTCTCATCAGCTCAGCTGCTGCTTACAGCCGAAATAAATTATCACGTTTATGTACAGAAAAGTTTTAACATACTTGCAAATCGTTTTCCATAATGTCAGTTGACAGAAGGTTCCACAATTAGTGAACAGTGCTCAGAAAATTACGCTTATATCGCAAAATCCTTTAAAATTATCAATAGACAAATGAGTTCGACTCTCCTCAAGTTTGTCGAAGCAGTTTCTCCCAAACGCTTGAAACCAGATTTGTGTGTTCAGAAAGAAGCAGTTATTAGTCTTTCCTTGCCCTGGTAACTGGATGTCTTTATTCTCTCTTTCATTTGATTAAGCAATCTTTGGCTCTAACCTCACCCCCTTTTATAATTTGTAATTTTGCTTGTCTCTTTTTTCTATGATTTGAGTTGAACTCACTACACTGTTACCCAGTTTATTAGTCACTCAGCATCTTACACATCTCTCATCTTTAATACGTGACTCCTTAACCATTGTATGCATACATTTATTTTGTTTAAACTTGAACTGCCTGTGTAAAGACGATATAAGCGTAATTTTCTGAGCACTGTTCACTAATTGTGGAACCTTCTGTCAACTGACATTATGGAAAACGATTTGCAAGTATGTTAAAACTTTTCTGTACATAAACGTGATAATTTATTTCGGCTGTAAGCAGCAGCTGAGCTGATGAGAAGCCAACGAAATAGACAATGATGGTACCATATTATTCTGTACAAACCACTGTTGTTCTTGCTTTGTTCAAAGTTTTCAGGGGGATTTAAATACCTTGGGTTGTGTATTTCATGGTCTCCTCATATCGTGTATTATTTTCTAGAAAGACATTTCGATTAACGTTTCACGTAAGGACGAAGTGAAGGCCATTCGGTATCACTCAGTAGTTTGTCAGTTCATGTATTCTACCTATCCTTCTGTATTGCTCTCCCTAGTTAATCTTTTCTGGGCTATCGCAGAAAAACTTTGATACACTGTGTAGGGCATTGAAAGCTGTTTGTAGGGTGAGTGGAGTTAATACTGTTGTAGATAGACACATCGACTCATTCATGCAAAAACATTAATCAATATCATCTTGTCAGACTGTGAACATTCTCTCTATACACACAACTGTCTCTCTCTCTCTCTCTCCTTGCTGCATTTTATCAGTCAGGGGAACTAGGAGCAACTATATAGAAGACTTTATAATCAGACAACTAAGTATAAAATTCTACAATACCTTATTTGGCAGGCACACATTTTATATGAGGAGAAAAGTGTATACGGCATGATGGCACTACTGACTTACTGCAAAACACTAAGTAAACGACACTTTTTAATCTTTATTTTGATAATTATCATTATTGTTGATATTTTCAATTAATATTTATGTTTATATTCTACTACTTCGCTACTACCAAGGGGTGCCATCGACAATTATACATCTCATCCAACAGTTGTACGACAATGCTGCATGCCAAGTAATCCACAACGGGAAACTTACGGAAGCCTTCGAAGTGAAGACGGGAGTAAGGCAAGGCTGCCTACTATCTCCAATGATTTTCCTGATTACAGTAGATTGGATACTGCGACAAACAGCGGTCAATGAGGAAACAGGCATAAAATCGACCCTGACGAAAAACTTGGAGGATCTGGACTTTGCCGATGATATATGTCTGATTTCCCACAAACAGGAAGATATGCAAGTGAAAAGCAACAAGTTGGCAGAAGAAGCATCCAGAGAAGATAGGACACCATTCAGGTGAACATAGATAAAACAGAGGTGATGAAGATTCCTGGTCAACACCAACAGCAACAACAACAACGGACGATAATCAGCATAAATAGGAGGAACCTGAAAGAAACAACCTCCTTTACCTACCTGGGAAGCATCGTTCCAACTACAGGCGGAAGGAACTGACGAGGATATCAAAGCAAGAATCGGAAAAGCAAGACAAGCTTTCACTACTCTTAAGTCTGTGTGGAGGTTAACAGCACTCAGCATGAAAATGAAAATAAAATCCGGATTTTCAACTCCAATGTGAAGTCAGTGCTACTTACTATACGGATCAGAGACCTGGCTCCGCGTCACAAAAGGCACTTCGGACGAACTACACACCTTTAGCAACAGCTGTCTTCGCCAAATACTACTCAAGATCAGATGGCCAGAAAAGATCAGCAACAGGGAGGGATCTCTGGCAATGAGCGAACCAACCAGGAACCGATTGTGAAACAAATAGGCACGAAGAAACGGAGGTGGATTGGCTGGCCATACTCTGAGGAAACCATCAAGTGACATCACTAGACAAGCCATCGCTCGAGTGGAACCCGAAAGGGAAGCGGTGAGTTGGTTGTCAGTGTGAGGGTGACTTGGAGGAGGTGATGTAAAGAGGAGGTGAAAGCATGTGGACAGACTTGGAGCCAGGTGAAAACCCTAGCAGAGAACCGAACGCAATGGAGACACGCGGTTGAAGCCCTATTTTCCTCTAGGAATTAAAGGAAAAAATAAATAATAATAATTCTTATTTAACAATATTATCCGTGTCAATGTCCTACTTGAATCATTGCCCATGTAATGAGAAAATTAGATGCAGTTAGATACTGTACTGCTACCTGCTGAAAATTCCATATTTTTATTTTATTTTTGATTACAGCTTGATTCCACAGCGTATTTTTGGTACAAGTATGGAATTTTCAGCGTGGATATCGGTAGCCCAAATTTCGCAGGCCGACCATAGATATCAGGTGTGCGTCGGTAGGGGATCGAACCCCGGACCAAAAGTACTGTTTGGAATAGAGCCATTATTATTACCATTGGTTAGAAAACCATTGGTACACCAACTGGGAGTACTGGACAGCTATCTTGTTCTAGTTTGGGATTCTTCATCGGTGAGCACCCACTTTCAGGGTTCGAACCCAGGACCCCGGCACACAAGGCAAACTCGCTGACGCCTATTAAGCCACTGAGAATTGACTAAATGATGCGTGGATTCCAACTTTCGCCAATGTCAACAGTGACGAGCATTGGTCTTCAAACCTGACTTGATGTACTCAGTTGGTCATAACTTCCCATTACGAGCTCACCTTTTAACCATAACGTCCTGAGTCGGAACCCTAGCGGTGGGTGAGTTCAGATGAAAAGTTCCAAACTAGAACGAAACAGAGTTGTCCAGTACTCCCAATTTTTCTAATGGTTCTTTAATCGATATCATTTCATGATTAAATCCTGTAACCAGCCAAATCCTTACAAACCAATAAATGAATATTATTATTGTAACTTTATAAAGTGACCTACTTGAAAACAATGAACTGGAAGTACGTCGAAAAATTCATGTCCTATAAAGAATGATAATGTTTCAGGAACTTCTCGGAGATCATTATACCAGAATATAGGCAATGATTTATTCGATAAGCATGAGGTAACTTTTTCAATTGTTTCCTTTTGAGTATTTCGCATTGATGAACTTATTTCAACTAGATGTAATGAGATGGTTGAATATATATCAGGGAATTTTGAAAGAACCTAAAATTAAATTTAAGAAAAAAAAATGAATAGTTATCATTTAGTAGTGTGTAAAACTTTAAATTGTCAAGTAATGTATACGTCTGTACAAGAAGTAAAGAACCGCGTCTGACAATACTAACTGATAACGAGAACCTTCGATCAATAGGCGGTAAGAAGAAGGGATTTAAGGTCGAGGCATAATGGTCGATTTCAACAGACCTCATATCTATGAATATGACTCTGTATTACTGTCAAGTATTTAAAGTTGCCCGTGCACTCTTAGTTAACTTGAGAAAAGTCTTATGAGATCTGTGCTCAAGAGGTTGTATGAGGGTAGCCTCTACAGGTTCAGTGGATATGTTCTAAAAACGTGAATAAAACACTATGATATGAGGTTGTCCGTCGGTGGTTCAGTGGTAGAATACTCGCCAACCACGCACGTGGTTCAGGATTTGATCCTGGGCCGATGGCACTGCTTAACGCCACTTATTCTGTGGTTAGCCTAGTAAAGAAGGAAGGTTGGGTGTGAGATTAGCAACCCCACCACCCAGTAAGTAAGAAATAAAACACAACTGCTACTGAAATTTTAAAGTTTAAGCTTGAAGCCCTATGTTCCAATTGAAATGTAAAGGAGGCAATATTATGCTACAACTTGAATGGGTATCACTTACTCATGTATATGTCACCCTGTTCGATCCTCAGCATTACTTAGAGAACTGTACTCAAATATGAATCAAAGTTCCTATCTGTCCTACATTTTAGACTAACAGTCACTAATTTAATGAAAGAAAGTATAATTCATGTATTTGTGCTTTAATCTTTACATGAAAACCCTCGCTACACATACGCCATAGAGATAGGTCAAAGGCTGTGAAAGGATTTCAAGAGGAGAAACTAATTTTGTCCATAAAGATATGGAAATTGAGTTCATGGCAAAAGATTTTGACTCGAAGATAAACACAATCATCAACAAACAAGCTTGTTAGTTGGGATTCTTGTGTAGAGTGTCTATCAGTTATATACACATTCACAGTGTATATATTATCATTTCATTAGGTTCTGAGTGGAACATATAGCTTAGACAGTGCATCCCCAGTCTCATCCTGTCCTCTGTACTCCCTGTTAGCTGGCTACACAATTTTTCATAAGCATTCATTTCGTTCTTGCACGATCATTTTCATGTCATCCTCGGACCAGCGTCCAACTGATTGTTCCTTATTCGGGCTCATTTTGAAGGTTTGTCTGGCGCGTGATGTTACTCAACTGTCTCATCACAGAGTGTGTCCAATCCATCTGAATTTTTTTCGGCATATTTGCTGGACAATAGGCTATTAGATGAAGGATTTAATTATGAGCTGACTTCAGTTAGAGAGCCACTGGAAAACCTGCAAGTACTGGACAACTGTTTCGTCCTAGTTTGGGACTCTTCGCAGTACTTACCCACCGCCAGGGTTCGAACCCAGGACCTTCTGGTTACAAGGCAAGCTAGCTGGTAGACCATTGAGCCACCGGGAGCCGATCCAATGGCCAGTCAGTGCATGAATTCTAACTTCTGCCAATTCCCGACGTAGCGCGATCATTTCGCAATGTCTTCTTCAGTGAGTTACTGCCTCATCTCCAACCTGCTGTATCTACCCTACCGGTCACGGCCTCCCACTAGAGCACAAAACCGATACTTGAAAACAGAGCGATTATTTGGTTCGTTGACTACCAGAGTTCCTTGTTGCTGATCCTTTTTAACTAATTATATGATCTTCAGTAGTGAGTAAAAGGAGTGGGGCGGGGGTGGGCAGCTGTTGATAAGAGTTTGAAGTAGCCTGTTGGAAATAATACACGAAGGTGTAGAAGTAAGTACCACCAATAAAATCAATACTCCTTCAGGCTTTTAGGTATTTACTTTCACTGAGTATTTTTTGGGTAAAAGCGATCAGTCAATTACTGTTAGCATTTAACATACTATTGTGTCATCGTTTGTTCTATCTTCCACTAGGAACCTAAGGGAACAATAAAACAATAAATGTATCATCGTTTAGTGTTCGTCAACAATTCTTAGTTAATCAATATTTGATAGTGATGATACCGGTGCCATTTTTGGAACGACTATTGACTATCTATTTTAACACATAGGCACAATAAAGTTAGTGGACAATAATAGTCACACATAATAACCAATCCTTTTCTCACTATAAATCTTATTTCTAACTATCACTATGTTTTTCGGTGAGCTAAGCAACAAGAGTGCATCGATGGCACAGCGGTAGAACGCTCGCCAACTATTCACATGATCCAGGATTAGATCCCCGGTCACAACAGACACACTCCCATCACCTCGCTAAGCCAGTTTTATAAGACTGGTAAAGAGGCAAGGTTGGGCATGCGGGGTTAGCAACCCCATCCCCGTCCCGTAAAAATAAATCCCACTGCTACCGAAATTTTAAGCTTCTAGCTTGAAGCCGCCTATGTTCCACTGGGAACGTAAAGGAATTAAAGAAAAGTAAGCAACAAGAAAAATACAAGTTAGGTTCACACAATTCCAAATAACAAACCCTTAGAATATCAGCAGAGAGTGTGCCACGTCCTGGACCAAGTTCAACAAGTTGTAAATGTTGAGGACAATTTTGCCGTTTCCATTCTTCCAACAACCAGACACCTATAAGCTATTAAAATATTCATATATTAGAGACGAAAAAATAGTTTACCTCACCGAAGATTTGACATATTTCAGGAGAAGTAGTAAAATCTCCACGTTTGCCGAAGACACTATGTGTATTATAGTAACCCTAGGCAAATATACAATAAGGTGCTACACATAACTCTTACATATACCGGGTTGCATAAACACTCCTTCATATATTCAGCTATTGTTAATGGTCCAAAAGTATTAATACGATCTAATAGTTGTTTCTTTAAAATATTATATGTTTTTTCTGGAGGGTGAAACAGACTAAAGTGACGTCTCCAAGATGAAATTGAAGAGAACTTGAAATTTGTAATATGTAGTCTTAATTTAAGAAGCATTTCTTTTTTACTATCTGTATCTGTAATTAATTTTATACAAGGCATAAAGAAAAAAGGAAGTGTAGTTCAAAGGGGATTACAACCAAAACATTAGGATAATTTGTTGTTGTGTACACAATTGGTGAGAATAAAGTTTAATTTCAAAATAGGATTTATTACTAATAAGTAGTCACTGAAATGGAGTAAAACAAAATGGAAACATCTTGTTGATGGATTGTATGACTGACCTGACTTCAATGAACTGATTGGTTATTACAACTTGTTGTAAAAATTTGATAGAATTGTGAGGAGCCTAATCTAAACACAGCGTTGTTCATCAGTTACAAACACATTGCTCGTTGTAGATGAGTTAATAATAATCTGGCATCAGTCCGTGAAATAATTGACAGTTAAGTTTGAGTCTGGTTAGGGTGCTCAAAGTGCAAAGATCCATTGGCTGGAGACTGTTAGTGACGTATAGCTCAGAATCATTCTCAATGACACAGATGAATTCATTCTTCATAATCTCTTGCATACATTAGACCCTAATGTTTTCTATGTTACTATTCTTTCTCTCTCACGTTTCTGCTTGTCATCATTTTGGATGCCTTTTTCTATCTCTTCCGTTTACATTTGTGTGTTGCGTGGAGTGTGGTAACTTGATTGGGTGAACTTTTTCATTGAAACTCAGTTAGGTGAGCTGACTGACTAGTTTCGACATAGAACTTTGCAGAAATGTGCACCAGTTCGAGTCGTCACACTTAGCACACAAAACAAGAGAAGAAAGTAAAAACAGAGATATGAGGCAAAAAAGAATAGCACTATGGAAGAACCATACACTTTTATTAGATATTATAAGTCATAAGGAGTGGATGCATCTGCACCAGCTATTGAGAACGATCTCTTCGAGCTATATCACCAGTTGTCTCCAGCTTTCATTGATTTTTACCGTCATGAAGACCCCAAATGGCTAGTCAGTCTACACCTCCCGACATGGCTTAAACCAACTGTTATGGATTTCATTGACTGATGGCATGTTTTAGTATGACTACCACTGGCTCTTTTCTAAACTGATCGATACTATGGCAGCTAATATTGGCTGTTAAGAAAGGCGATGGCCAGGCATTTATGTACATGATGCGGGGTTCGATCCCCTGCCGATGCACACTTGATATCTTTGGTCGGCCTAAAAAATTTGGGCAACCGATATCACATGCTGAAAATTTCATACTTGTATCAAAAATACGGTGTGGAATCAAGTTGTAATCAAAAAATAAATAAAAAAAATAAACACATGTACTAACCATCTAACGCAATCGATATAACTTCACAACCTTGCCGATTGGTTTCCCCTCCCTACCTAGCACTCGACCGATGCCTAACCTCAATATTACTCACCTTATTATACCACCACCTAACATGTATTATTAACTTTATATACATATGAAAAATATTAAAAGGTGTAGTTGCTAATATAATTATTTACAGTTACTTATACCAACACAACTTAGAGAAGATTATAGAGAATAGAAACCAGTAAATTAGTTAAACGTTCGCTGCGTAAGTGGCAGAGTCGAGTTATACGTATGCGATTATACTGAAGACTGGACTGGCTTTCAATTTCCGCTCGATTTATTTTTTCTTTTGTTTATTTTTGATTGCAGCTTGATTCCACACTGTATTTTTGGTACAAGTATGGAATTTTCAGCATGGATATCGATAGCCCAAATTTTTCAGGCCGACCATAGATATCAGGTGTCCGTCGGCAGGGGATCGAACCTCGAACCATGTGCATGGTCGGCGAGAGTCCTAACCACTGTGCCACCGATGCAAAAATTGAACAGATAGACAGATTTAATTCACTTTAAACCTTATTGTCTTGCGTGTGATTTTCAAGTTCAGATATTTATTTTTATGTTACTGTATATGGAACTGTACACAGGAGTGTGCCAATTTAAGTCGTCACACTCCACGCAGAACACATGTCGAAAAAACAGAGAAAAGGCGATTCAAAAAAACAAAACAAACAATAATTAGCAGAAATGGGAGATAACAAAGAGTGGATGCATCTTTGCCATAGAGAACGATTTTGAATCATCATCAAAAGTCTCAAGCCGTTGGATCTTGGCATTCCGGCCACCCAAGCCAGATAGCACAAATCTCCCTACGTGGCTGGCTCAAACCTAATGTCAAAGACTTCGTGAACTGATTCCAGATTTTAATTTAACCGCCACTAACTCTTTTCTAACCTAATCCACTGGCAGCTAACACTGCTCGTTCAGAAAGGCGATAGCTAGACATGTGCAACACGTGTCCTAACCACCTCAATCGATGCAGTTTCACAACCTGATGGACTGGCTTATCCTTCTTACCCAGTACTTGTTACTCGAAAAAGTTAGAAAATCTACTGTGTTATGAAGTAGAGTCACAACGATGAATTCATGTATACATATTAGCCTAACTTGTGATCATAAACACATGTAGAACTAGAATACATTGCATTAATGTGTGCAAACTAATTAATTAGCACTAAGTCACAGACTGTTCTCTCTTGATTTCATAATTTTTTCTACTAGATATATCACGAAGTAAAACAGTATTATTTACTGGATGAAATCTCGAACACAATTGATTGTTCACAATTATAACCCCATAACTTCGAAACCTGGTTTTTACAGTTTTTGTACGAGTGGTCGAATCTTTGAGATGCCTGTAGCAGGCTTTGAGTCATTCCCGTTGCGTATATTCTCAGTGGGTCCGACAAATAAAACCTAGGTCATCAGTGTTTCTCTCTTCTCTGCTCTATTAGAATTTAGGACTGCCACTTTATCCTATTCTGATGCATGGTTGTGTGTAACTAACTGGATGTAATGCCCATAACTAGCATTTCTTCCAGATTTCTTATCTTAGTAGCGTCTACTAACCTAGATTTTGCCATGCTCACCTACTTAACTGCTGTCTCGCAATTATTGTATGGTATTGGGTAAATTATTTTGTCTGATGTTTTAAAATCTTTCTTGATGTGGTCACCTTTACGTATATAATTGGCACTCATGTTAGGCTCACTGATAGTTCTATTTTTATTCTTATAATCTTCCATATACATCCGCATAATTTTATCAGGGTAATTATTAATGTTAAGGCTTCTGTTATGTCTTAATTTTTGTCGTAGATTTGCTTCTGCACTGTTTATTTATGCATTTGATTCGTCACTGAAAAATTTCAACAATCCTAGTTCATTGAAATCCAAATAGCCGTTTGAATGTTTGGATCTTCTGTAAATATTAGTATTTACTTCCAATATTGTTTCCTTCACATGATCTAATTTCACATCGGAAGCTTTCTGATTATGTTGGTTATGGAATTAATCCTATGAATCCCATTAGATAAAATAATTTATCTAATACCATGCAATGATTGCAGAATAGGAGAGTAACATTACTTAAGTCTAATAGAGAAGAAGGAGGGAGACCTAGGTTACATTTATTGAATCCACTAGGAATATATGCAACAAAAATAAGTTGAAGCATATCACACACGTTTTGAAGATTCTACGACTGTTATAATTACATGAAATGGGAAAGAAGAATAAGCAGTATAGAAACTAAGTATCAATATTGTGGGGTTATAATAGATATGAATGTGAACAGTAAATTGTCTTCGAGATATTATCCAGTAAATAACACTATTTTGCTTTGTGCTATCGTGAAGTATGTATGCATGTATCCCTCAGTCTGTTCATTGGGCCAAGTAGACAAATGATCTTCAGTATTGTATGTTGCATGATGCGCCGTGCTTAGGTGTGGCTGGTGACTGTATTCATCTCAAGCTTAAAATAATATGAGAGTCATGGCAGTAGAACTTCTAAATTCGTTTACACCCAAAAAGCTACTGTCTGGAAACTTACACCCTCAAATATTTCATTAGCTGAGCATTTACTATCGGAAAATTGGTGTTATCCTGATTCTCAAAGGCTTCATTTCTCCAGGTCATATTTTAATCCCCATAAAACAATTGTTTCTGCATAGCAGATAGCTAAACGTCTAAGGATAAAGCGTATATATACGCTTTTTATAATGCACAGAAATTATTTCAGTGCCAGTTGAAGAATTCATATGACAGTGGGGAAACATGGGAAAATAGGCACTTCTACATGCTCCACAAATGTCATGAGAAAATTCTCCAAATTGACTACTTATTAGTATATGCTACAGCATATACTTAACATATAATTATATGTTAGGCAGTAAGGTTTTAAGCGGTGACAGCTAACAGAAATTGAAAATTATTTTCCTTACATAAGTAATATATAAACTAGGTTGGTGGTTAGCTACTTAGAGAGACTAGACAATGGGAAGCAGTAACATAACATACAAAATGGGATCGAAGGCCAAAATATGACCTTGACACACCAAATCATATCTTCCGCGTCTTTACAAACAACAATGTCCTTGATTGCATATTTTGTTTCTGCGCATTGAATTGAAAAGGAAGGTGAGTTTTTGAATAAGTTAAAGAGTAGCAGATATCTCCAAATAACCTCTAAATGAACTTAAGCAAATACGCTTTGAGAAGGGAATGGTCCTAAAGGTTGTATCTGAAAGTCAGTTTTTACAAATCTGGTTGACTTTAAGAACTCCACCACTGAATATTACTATACTGATAGAAACCACAGACGGACTGTTTTCGGAGCTTTTTAACGATTCAATGAGCCACTTTAAGTCATCAAGAGGTTTGAAGTATATCATCCTTAGTCTGGTTTTGAAAACTATTCATTTACAAACCCATTTAAGAATTACTATCCCATTAATCTGACTGCCATCATCGTCAGCTACTAGACAGAATTGTCCGTGGTTGTATTCTTCAATAATTCAGAAGAAATCAAGTTTTGCCCGGGAAATTGAACGATTTTATTGCTGGTTGTCATTGCTTGGCCAACCATCTTGTGCCTTAGGGAAGTTAGGGGAATGAAGTCAGTTAGTAGAACCTGTATTTGTAGACTTCAGAAAGATTGCTTTAAGCTTTATCACTAGTTTCGTCTGAAAGAGCTATGCAGTTGTAGGATTGTTAAAACAGTAAAATACTGGGAATATGATTTCTCCATGGATAGAGGGAATAGTGGGAGTTAAAGATGTCTTATCATCATGGCGAACGGTGAATGCTGATTCGCCTGAAAGTAGAACTCTTAACCCCGTCTTATTCTTACTTAGTGTACTTCAGGTACTTCTGTGGACTAAATCACCCAGTCCGATTTTCACTAAGTTAAGTTCTGGATGGCTTTGGGAAATGATAGTGTCCTACTTGACTGCAAGAACAACCGCGTCTTTCGAATGAACGGTGTAACCATTGGTCTTTGGGGATCAATAAATATGTGTGTATAGTTGTGCATGTTTCTCACAATTTCATGCATAACTGCTCAACAAACGGCTTTCATCTACCCTGTGTTAGTTTGAGTGGTTTTGAGTCATGACGTAAAGGATTCGGCCAACTTTAGAGCAATTGGTACGTATATTATGGGCTCTCCATAAGGCCTTTATATGTTTCAGTGTCAATATATTTCAAATAGTATATCCTACCTTCATCGGATCCCTTCTAAAATATAGGATACAAGCAGTGAGCCAATGTTTCAGACATGAAACGTGTTAGAATAGCTGTGAAGACTTGACACTCAGTGGCCAGGCAATTATATCACCTCCAACTTAATAAAAGTTTAGAGTGACTAGATTTATTTCCATCTTCACATCAGCAGTTGTGGAGTGATCTATTTTTAGTCCTCCGTATTTTTTCTAATAACTGAGATGCTGATTCGTCCGGAATATTTCTCCCCGACTACTTGCAAAGGATCACCTTGGAGTTCAAGAATTATGCCGGAACCGCCTACGCCTTGAAATCCTTTCTAATGTGAATTATAAACCAGTGGAGTTTCATGCCAGACTACGTGGTACACGCATCTTCCGTTGATTTATTCAAAGAAAGACTGGCTCAGCTTTTCTACTTCACATGGCTTTGTCATTAAATCATAGTCGGTTGTTGGTTTCCAGTCTCTTGGTTGTTTGTTAGGAGCATTCATTACTTGATTTCGTGCTTGCAGACAAAATTCTGACCTCATTTTTGGGGGTTGTTCTCCTTGATTCTCAACTGCTTATCAGATGAATTCAGTTCGGTGAGCATTTCACATCGAAGAACTTCCACCAGACAATCGTAATGTGACACTGTTCCGGTACTATCGCATGTATCACGTTGTTTGTTGTTTCGTAGTATTCTGTTTACCATCTTGTATAACACTTTAGCACCTTTGAAGTATAGTCTCTTACCTCTTTTTGTGTAGTTACGCTCTCTTCAATGCTATAAGAAGGGACAGTCATATTGGTCATGGAGACTTCCGAAACACTCACTACAGTTATAAGTATAAAATATGGGCACTGCGGTAGGGTATAACTCCATTATGGATAAGATTTTATTTTGATAAATCACCCAGTGTTGCACAGTAATATTAACTGATGACGTCATCATCAAGTGCATGACCTAGTTGACGATACAACTCCTGAATGCTTATCGGAGCGACAGTGTGTTGCATGTTTTGGCAGCTAAGGTCAGGACGAATGACAGATTTCCACCTTTGTGACTTACAGTGTACCTGACAGTATAACAATCAGCCATATGAGAGTTTCACGCTTCTTGGCGTACGAGATATTCTGTTTGTTTGTCAAGTGTTCAGCATTGGAAAGCGTCAAGTGGATTCACTTGTCCCATACTGTTCAAAATCAGTAGTCCTGAGAGGGTCGGAGAGTTCCTGCTCTCCCGAGAAGTTGTTAATCTATTCGCACAGCACTTCAGCACTAATCCCGCTCCCCGAAGTTACGCCCAGCCGAATGATGCAGCTGCGAAAATGTATCAGATGTACGTAAAGTTTGTTTAACCTGAGGTCCCGCTGAAATTGCCACTATCCCCTCCATGAGTGAAAATGGCTAAATGAATGACAGTGAGGAACTCTTCGTAGGTTTCTGTGCTGGAGACAGACCACAATTTAGGTTCATCATCCAGAAACTGAGGGAAAAAACTAAAAGGGATGCTTTTACTACAGATCATGTCAGAGCAAAGTCGGGCGCATCACTGTGGCATCACTGAGGAAACCTCAGTAGAAGAACATTAGAACTGTTTGAAGATGATGTTCAAGGAAACGTGTACAACTGTTCTGGGAAGGAAGAATAGGCAACACGAGGAATGACTTTCAGTGGACACGTGCCAAAGCGTCACTTCCGAGATCATATTATGTTGCCATTTCGTGCATAAAAGGTTGACGAGGAAATGGCAATGATTCTCTCAAATCTTTCCGTCATGTCCCTCACTGGTAATGGTCACATAGAAAACTGCACGTTGTCATTTATAACCCCTAAACCCAAAATCAGGACAACGTCTAATATGGGAAACTACCGATTGACAGACATCAAATTAGTTGTTTCCGGAATATGAGAATTTGGAAGAATGGAGAGTATCAACGAGCATTTCAGATACGATAAAATGATAATACATATATCTAATATTCAATAAACTCGTTCCGTAAAACCAGAGGAGATTTATAAAACCGACACAAAACAACGTTTCAATTGTTGAAAACATGAAGTGTGTCAATCACGTGTCATAAACCGTTAATGCCCAGCCCTTGCTACGCTGGGCCTCACGCTGTCCCTCGAAGATTCCCAGAAACGCTTAGTATTAACGGACGCAAAAACCAGAACACAGATTGGCGACTCCAGAATTCTTTATTCTAGCACCAACATGTAACCAGCATTATTGGTATTACGGACTAATGTCTAAGAACAAATATTACAATAATAAATCACGATATTACTTCTGACAGTTTTTTCTAGCTCCTTTCTGAACAGCGACCGATGAGACGATGACTGGCAGATTGATCACCCGCGAAAATTATGGGGAAGTTAAGTTTGAGCAAACAACCATGAATCGATCGTTCAATCTTCAACTACATTGACAAAGTGTGTTTCGGAATTTGAAACATTGGGCGGTAATGTGCTGGTTTTAGGGGGCGTTGATTTGGTTATAACGGTAATAACGTCAAAACTCGAACTTACCTCAAAGAGTGCACGGCATGCCGTAAGACTATTCAGGCAATTTAGGTTTCCAAATACAAAACAAACAATGTAAGTGAAAATTAGATACCTGAAGTTCGGCTGTAAAAAGCACTTTAGAATAGAGGAGAATATTCACACTGAGGTGAGATCAAAAGCTCTTTCCACACAAATCACGCACCAGCATTTCCTGCCGAGAGTTCTGGGTCACGATGACCTTTATTCATGCAAAATCTCATATAGTTAAACATTAAATTGTCAGTTAGCGCAGTACCACAAAGAGAAGCATCACAATTTTAGATCAAACAGAGGCCAAGGAGAATAACATAGGTCAGAATCTACATGTGATATGTAAATGTTAAATGAATGATGCACACTCCAGCGGAAAGACGTATAATAGTTACAAAGTTAGTTGAAACGTCTGAATAAGTATAAATATCATAAATATATACGGATAAAAATATTCTGCATAACTAAACGTGACTCAAAAGCGTGTTAAATGGGGTAGATGCTTGGCCACATATCCCCAACTCATTCAACAGCGTTTTGAACCGAACTAAAAAGTTTTATCACACAAACTTTTAGGTATTAGGAGGTATCGGTATTGTTATCATCATCATCATCATAATCATTTTACCATTGCCGCCTCTGTAAACTTAAGAGGGATATCTCAGGGACTATTGCCTGTTAGTTATTCGTGAGTAGTTCACGTTTCGTTAAACCTTACCAGACTAATGATATCCTTTAACTGCAGTCTCTTATGCACAATAAATTCGAAGTAAATATTATTAGCATTTCTGGATGCATTGCCTCCTCTGGATAGCAAACTGGTTAATTTTAGTATTGCTTACATGAACCCAGAGTGATCGCATCATTGATACTCGCAGACTCTTTCGGCTGGATAGCACTGCTCTGGCTTCGCTGCCAGAAGGAGTGACTGAAGTAGAGCATAAAGGTATCTCTTTCCCCATCTCATTAGAATTTATTAGTAATCCTGCTTCTCTCAATGTAGGTGATGGAAACCGGATTCTTTTCATTCAATTTGTAGAAAGCAGATTGTATAACAGCATAGCTGTCCAGTATTAAAAATAAAATATCATGGCTAAACTCTCCATGTGAAAAATGACAATTGGTAGTATTATAATTCTGTGCACCAGTGGTCCATCGGTAGTTTGCGTCCTATTTACGGCCAGTAAACGCCTAAACCTCTCTTAGCAGGTAGTAAGCCAGGTAGGAAGGAAAGCTAGGGCGTGAGGTTGTCATACCGACTCCGTAAGCTTCAAAGCTGAATGTTGTAGCCGTTGGCTGCGCTAGAAACAAAGGAGAATGAAAAAGGCCTCCCAGAGTTTGGTTAGTTAAAAAACGATTGGTGGTTCGATATTTCTAACCAACTTATTACCTAACAAAGGTCACCTACTTAACTAGGTCGCTAGTTTTCTAGACGGTCCCAAGCTCAGGTAAAGCGGGAGGTTAAGCGT